TAACAAAATTGATAGCGTAATGTGAGCTGCACATTTCCCAAGTGATTTATAACTTATAATGGCAAAAATAATAGTTAGACGTGTTCAAAGGGCAAATAAAACAATAAAATTTAAGTATAAATAGATGTATAATGTTACAAGTTTAATTCTACTTAGGATAAACAAATATAGTTTCATGTTACAATTTCAAGTTATTGTAGAAAGAAAAAGGGTAATTTAAATTGATTTCATGTTATTGTTTTGGTGATTACAAGGCCAGTCAAATTAACCAGCTTTGTATAGAGTTAAGGTAAAAAAAATATAATATAAAGTTTTACTGAAAACAAACATCTGAAATGTATTTAGGATGTTTTAGAGATTATGCAAATGACATTTGAGATTTTTGAGATGAAGTAAAATATTTTTTCAATATATTCTCTGTTGTGTGACAATGTTACTTTTGTATTGTTAACATACCAGGACCAAACTTTGGACCACATCTGTAGCATGTTTCCATGTCACTGTAGTGTGTTTCCATGTTATTAATGTATCATCAGTATACCTGAACCAAACTTTGTGCCATATCTGTAGCATGTTTCCATGTTATTAATGTATCATCAGTATACCTGAACCAAACTTTGGACCACATCTGTAGTGTGTTTCCATGTTATTAATGTATCATCAGTATACCTGAACCAAACTTTGGACCACATCTGTAGTGTGTTTCCATGTTATTAATGTATCATCAGTATACCTGAACCAAACTTTGTGCCATATCTGTAGCATGTTTCCATGTTATTAATGTATCATCAGTATACCTGAACCAAACTTTGTGCCATATCTGTAGTGTGTTTCCATGTTATTAGTGTATCATCAGTATACCTGAACCAAACTTTGTGCCATATCTGTAGCATGTTTCCATGTTATTAATGTATCATCAGTATATCTGAACCAAACTTTGTGCCATATCTGTAGCATGTTTCCATGTTACTGATTTGTTGTCAACATACTTCAACCAAACACTAAGTTTTAGAGTGGCTGTTTTGAAGGCAAAACATTCCAGTTACTCATTGCTAGTGATAGGATTGAACTAATAGCTAGACATTCTTGAACTGACCTTTATAGACTGTGAGGTAAAAATGTTTTTGAATATTTAACCTAAGACAATTTTAATTAGTTTAGGTATTTCTAAAAACAATATATTAAATGTATCTTGCACTGACCTTGAAATCTAGAAAAAATACATAACTTGTCGTTTTCTGTATTAAATATATAATTAATTCTGATTAAAAGGTTTTAAATGTGTGACTATATTTACAAATTCAGTAGGAAACCTCAACCTGAGTATTTAGTACTAAGTTACCTAATCATATTTTTTGTGGTCAATAGGACTAGGACATGTAAGCATGTGTTTAAATATTGAGTTAACAAATTTCAACCTGAGCCAGTAGTGGTTTGTTGGAAAGATAGTTATTTTGGTTTATTTCAAATTTGGGGACCTGAAATAATGACAAATGTACATGTGATATGTAGTTGTTTTATACTAACTATGTTAATGCAGTACAGTTCCTTAACACTGAAATTACAGTAAAATGTTAGTTTAATTATATAAAAGTGTAATATGCACTTTAGGAAAATATAACAGAGCTTTAAAAACAGTATGCTCTGTTGGAAACTTATTGAAACTTCACATTACTGCCATCAGTGTGAGTTTGATGTTTATTAACTGTTTTTCAGAATACCTTGCTGTATTTTCACATCTGATAGCATTCCATGAGCCAGAGTTAACCAATCATCTGGATAGTATAGGATTTATACCAGAGGTATGTGTAGGATTTATACCAGAGGTATGTGTAGGATTTATACTAGAGATATGTGTAGGATTTATACCAGAGATATGTGTAGGATTTATACCAGAGGTATGTGTAGGATTTATACCAGAGGTATGTGTAGGATTTATACCAGAGGTATGTGTAGGATTTATACCAGAGGTATGTGTAGGATTTATACCAGAGGTATGTGTACGATTTATAATAGTATATTAAAGGATTATATACATGAATACATATATTTTTATGCAAATACAAATTAATTAAATAAATAAATAGTCACCAACTACAAGTGTGTTAAAAGTGCAGTGAAGAATAAACTACTTAAACTAAAATTGCACAGTTTGACACAAATAAAAGTGGACATCTTCCTAGACCTTGGAGGATGGCACCACTGATGTAACATGTTCACTGATATTGAAGTGACAAAAGTAAGAAGTTAAACAGCATAAACAAAACATTTTTCTTGACTAATTTTCTTAAAGAAAATTGTAATTGCATGTGAAAATACATGGTCACTTGTATGATTAATAGCCTTAAGAAAGTTTCTTAGCTTTGTTCTATGGATAATACTGTTGGAAATACTTTTCAAAACTTATCTCATAAAAATATTTGGGATTATGTAGTTTTAAGAGTTTTTAAAAACTACAGTTTTAGCTCCATCTAGGTAGTAGTCTAATTCTTTAAATTTCACTTGACCATTGAAACAATCAACTTAAAACAACATTGTATACTTTCAGGAACGAGTATTGTTTGTTACAGTACTTAATTAATGGACTGCTACACTGACTCTACACAACAAATATTGTTTGTTAGAATAATTAATGGACTGCTACACTGACTCTACACAACAAATATTGTTTGTTAGAATAATTAATGGACTGCTACACTGACTCTACACAACAAATATTGTTTGTTAGAATAATTAATGGACTGCTACACTGACTCTACACAACAAATATTGTTTGTTAGAATAATTAACTAATGGAATGTTACACTGAATCTACACAACAAGTATTGTTTGTTAGAATAATTAATTAATGGAATGTTACACTGAATCTACACAACAAGTATTGTTTGTTAGAATAATTAATTAATGGAATGTTACACTGAATCT